ATCCACTTAAAACTACAAAAGCACAAAAATTAAATGCATACACATACATGCATACATATATGCATACATGAGCAAACATTTATGAAGTATATAAAGCCAATCCCAATTAAAAAACCCATCTCAGAACAAGAAAAGGGATCTAATGCTAGAAATGGAGATAATGACACATTAAAAACTTGAAAATTTGGGTCAAATATGTGTTTATTATACAATAAATCACCAAAATTGACCTAAGAAGAGTCAAATTACCACTGCAGCAATTTTTTAAGTTGTTATGGAATGACCTCCAGAAAGTTGCTGGGCCTAGCTACTTTTGTGAAAATTTCTTCAAACCTTCAAGGGATGTGTAATTGCCAAGGTATCTGAATTATTGCAGAGTACCATAGAATAAAGAAATTTTCCTAAGTCATTTTAAGAGGTTAGCATATTCCTAAACTGAAAACCTGAAGAATATAGGATAAAAATAGAAAGCTCTCAAACCAATCTCACTGTTAACAAAGTTGCTAAAATTATAAATAAATCTTATAAAATTGAATGCAGTAACATAGAAAAAAAAATCATATCCTGATTAAGTAACTGCCAATTACTTTTGCCTCCACATAGTTCACATGCTAAACATAATCCCATTATTAATGCCTCTCATTACAGTAGTGGTTCTTAAAAACGGGGAGTTAACAGGAGGACATGGGTAGTTTGGAAAAAGAAATGTATTTACTGTGTCATTCCCCAAGAGAAGCCACTGTCCCATGAGGCCCAGGAAATAAAAATTTTTAAATAATCCTATTTTCCTCTTTGTTCTTTTACAAATTCATAAATGCTTTGAAATACACATATTTTATTTGTAATCCTAAAAAGTTAACCAGAAATACTTAGAAGAAAAACAAAAAGCAAACAAACAAAAAACTATAGTGATAACATCAAACAAGAAGCAAAATATCATAAACTTTCCTGTGTGGGGATGAGACTGGCAGAGTCTTTAAAATATGAAACCGCCCAGTTTAGACTAAAACCTTCTCCTATTCCCATCAATATTTCTGTCCAGATATGGGCATTTTTCATTGCTCCAAGAACCCTCAAACTATATTCAAATTAGGACCATCTGTTCTGGAAATTTAAACTGCTGACCAATGTTCTCTAAAATGTTTTGAAAAGTAAGACCTGATGTCTTATTCTAAAACCAGCTCAGATTGAGTCAATCAAGTCACCACCAACACTAGCCAGCTTATCAGTGTTCCCCTTGACTTGGAGCAGTAAGGGCCAAGGCTAAGGTCATTTAGGCATCATAAACACAGAGTCTAGGTTATTACTCTAAAGGTCTTTTTTACAATGAAAAGACATAACATACAACCAAGGGGATCACAGTTCAAGTCAATGCAAACTGGAATTTGTCTAAAATTGTGAGAGTAACTTTAAATCAAACTGCCGTAAGTCAAGTACTACTTATACTAAGACTCAATTTAATGGCGAAAAGAGACACAATTTTACTGGGTATCGAGACATATAATTTATATAATTATTATAAATATATAATATATATTAATGTGTGTATTACAGATTGAATTATGCACCCCCCACACACCAAATTTCAAATATTAAAGTCCTAACACCTAGTACCTTATAGTGTGACTGTATTTGGAGATAGGGCCTTTAACTAGATAATTATGTTAAAATGAGTTCATTATGGTGGGCCCTAACCCACCATGATTGATGTCCTTATAAAAAGAGGAAACTTGGATACAGATATAGCAAAGAAAGACCATGTGAAGACATGGGGAGAAGACAGCCATTAACAAGCCAAGGAGAGAGGCCTCTGAAGAAACCAACCCCATTGACACATTGATCTCAGACTTCTAGCCTCCAGAACAGTGAGGGAATTAAATTCTGGTGTTTAAACCACTCAGCCTATGGCACTGTTACGGCAGCCCTGGCAAACTAAAACTGTGTGTGTGTGTGTGTGTGTGTGTAATTTAAAATAAAATTGTTACTATGTCAGCTAGAGTCACTCTTAGCACATAATTTCTCATGTCATAAATTGTGGCAAGTTCAAGGTCCTCCCAAAGAGTAGTGAAAGCTCCTAGAGACTAGTGTCCTTCTTGCTGCAAACTCCTGCCTCTCCTGATTCAGTTCAGATGTCATTTTATAATCTCCAACTTTTGTGGTCCTTGTCCTTTGCTAACCTTGGGTGGACCTCAGGCCTTTCCCATCAAATTTTAATTACCATCCAAAATAAAATAAAATAAAGCAAAATGTTAACAATGACCAAAACCAAAGCACAAATAAAAATCCACCTTCATACAAGGTAATTGTGAAATGGCTGGCTTTACATCCCAGAAATGTGAAAAATTAAAACTGAACATTAGCTATCTCTGCTCTAATGTGGTCCCTTAGCCATTTCCACATGGGGGAGATTCAGCTTCCTCTCATGTTCTAATGTTATAGTTCTTATACTCTCCTCCTCCTCTTCTTCCTCCTCCTCTTCCCTCTTTTCTATCCCTCTCTCCCTCTCTCCCTCCTTCCCTCAATCCCTCTCTCCCTTCTTCCCTCCCTCCCTCCCTCCCTCATCCTCTATAGATCCTGCTCTTTTCTACTCCTTTCTTGGATCTTCCCTCATTCCCAGCAGTTTGGCTATCATTGTTAATGAGCTTGGCTCATGCTCTCAGGATCCCCGTTTCTACCTCAAGTAGCTAATCAAACTATTTTCTCAAAGACAGTTTCCTTTCTCAGAAAAATTCTAAAGCCAGCTGTTAAAGTTATCCCTGCTACACTGTGTTTAGCCAAGTTACTCAAAGGAGTGAAAGTAATATTTCAAGTTGTTTTTTCACCCTGATTCAAAAAGAATGAATATCAATCATTAAACATTATCTAATATCAATACATTACCCTTCTATAGGATCGCTAAATTAACTCAGATCTAAAACTTTCATTAAACTTGTTGAAAATTATTTTTAGATTCTACAGTCTCTCTGGAAATTTTCACCAAACCTGTGAACTCTGAACCTTATTTTTTAAACCATCAACTGTTGCATTCAGCAAATGATTTAAACTATGATTTCAAAGAGGATGCTTTGAAAACTAAGGACCTTCTACACTTGTCACTTTCTATAATGGACAAAGAAGGCTTAGCTGTGCCTTTATTCAAAAGATCTTCCACACAATTAATATGTGTTGATGTGAACTGCCTAGTTGAAGAATGTCAATTTATGGTTTGAGGAAGAAAATGAAAATAAATTCTGGTTCAAAATCACTTCTTAGGAAACAGGCTGCTACTGCCACCTGGGGGAGGTTCTTTCTGCTTCATTCAAGAAAGCCAAATGTGTTTGTCAGATGAATGAATCCCATTTGTGTTTTCCTTTTCATATCCACACAGGAAGATTTTTTAACTTTCTGCCCATGAAGTCATAAGGCATTCCAGATGTCTCCGAGATTCCTTCACACAGAAAGACATACTTCACAGACTTTTTGAGAGGTACAGGAGAATATGAACCAGAATGTAACCATATGAAGGTTTCTACATGTTACACACTCAGAAAGTATATTGGAATATATGGGTTATATACTAAGAAGTAGGAAAAAATCAAATATAAGCTTTTAATAACAAAACAAAACCCCAATGTTAAACAAAACGTATTTGGCCTTAAATTACAGTTAACTGTACTCCTTTTCTGAAAGACGCTATTATTAATTGATATGGAAACTGAATGTACTGATATAATTATGCTAGTTATCACATCAAAATAATAAAACTCAATTCCATGGAAATAGCCAAGAGTTTTCTTAGAGTTTTTGAATTTATAACTAAATACTGTTATGAACTCAATATTTATTGCATGTACATGTCTATTTGTTGAAACTTTTTCAGGAAGTACTAATATGTCAGCTACAATGGAAAAATTATGACTATTATTTTCAAATGTCTAATTTCTATTTACACTTGCCAATCTTGCATTTCTTTAGGCTATAAGATAAATTGGTACCTATTAGCAACTCCCTAAAACAAAGAAGTTAATTTGAAAAAGGAAGTTTCAGGAAGTAATTATTGAAATTACATGTCTGTCATAAAAAAGTCAGCGTTGATTAAAGGAAGACAACTAACCATTTGTAGAAAGGATTCTGGTAATATATTAACTAAATAAAATACATACAGTATCAGTCTCAGAGTGGTACAAAGACACTGTCAGAAGGTTGAAGTTCATATCAAAGAACAACTATATCAGCTCAAGGGAAGCGTTTGTAGAGAAAGCATTTTTAAGACTGGAAAAGGTATGTGAAACACAGCAAATCGGTTGGGGTTCTATAATTAATTCTTGAAAAAAAAATCATTGTTTAATTCAGGAGTAAAAAGGAATCTGAGTGACTATGGTGCAGCTGATACAGCAAATGAGCTGGGAGATCCGGGGTCACCTTCAGGGACCCCTAAAATGAAAATCTTTTAAATGAGGGTGTGAGGTTCATTCAAGATATTCATATTAGGGTCTGGAAAGATTGTAATTAGGGCCTTAGAGGACAAGAAAGTCCAGAGGTACATAAACCTTTACAGTAAAAGTATAAGTTATAAGCAAAAAATAATATATATGACTATTAAATGTCTTTATTTTTGAAACAGCAGATTGAGTACATTTGGCAATTGGCCAGTAGCTCTGCCTTATTGATCTAACGAAAATTACTGACAACCTTAAAATGCTATAAAGGGCTTATTTCTGTACAAAAAATTAACTACATTGCAGGGGTGTTGTAAAGGGAATAGAGTCTCCCAAGGTTCTCCTCCCTCCTAACTGAACTGCACAATATAACTGGGCTTCACTTTTCTTCATTAAAGAGTCAATGTTTTACTATGGTGAACCATGTTATTTCATAACAGAAATTGCAAGTAGTTCTCATTTTCATCAGAATGTTGCCTTATTGTTAAAAAAAATTAGTAAACAGAAACAGAAGTCTTCCTTTAATATTACTCATCTTTCACAGGAGAGAAGCATTCAGGAAGTCAGGAAAGATGATTTTTGCAGATGCCACTGGTGTATTCAAGGGGTGTGGAGGCTGGGGGTTGTTTAAAATACAAAAGGGACTGTTTTTTCCACTGTACTGTTCCTGCTTCTCCTCCAGGAATGCATAATTTTCAAATACTGCTGCTACCTTTGTTCCTGAACTGAGGAACAGCAGCACCCATTCCTAAACCAACTCACCTATCACATTGATGAGCTGACATATTCCTCCTAAATATGGTTTACATTATCTTCATATGATTTTTTTTCTCATTTTCCTGCAATGATTGCTTCCTCCTCCCTTTTCTTATCTGCATTTAATTTCTCTCTCCTTTCACTGCGAACTAATATTATTTCCATTTTCCCTCTTTCACTGGGGGATCCCCACTTGAGTGGAGTGTTTCTCCATCCTTTAGGCACCAAGAATGAGGGGGAAGCATATCAAAGGCCATACCTGGAGTGCTCAAGGCCAGGTAAGAAGACTTACATTGTCGGTGAGTGTAGAAGCCTGACTGTTTATGCTGAACCTTTGTTTACCCACAGCCATGATGGACTCCAACAAGATGACCATCAACTTGGCCCTCTTTGGCATGACTCAAAGTGGAAAAAGTTCTGCTGGAAACATTCTTCTGGGAAGCAATGACTTCCACAGCAGCTTTGCTCCATGTTCTGTGACCAAAGATTGTAGTCTGGGCCGCAGTTGTCACCTCCGGGGCTTCATGCGCCGAGGGGGACAAGAGATAACCCTGCAGATCCGGGTGTTGGATACTCCAGGTTATCCGCACAGCAAGTTGAGTGAGAAGCATGTGAAACAGGAGGTCAGGGAGGCCCTGGCACATCACTTCGGGCAAGAGGGTCTCCATCTTGCACTGCTGGTCCAGAGAGCAGACGTGCCTCTCTGTGGACAGGAAGAATCTTCCCCAGTCCAGATGATCCAGGTAATACAAAGAGGCAGTTACACTAATGACATTATTCCCATTTGAAGGATATTGTCTTAATTGGAAAGAACTATGAAAAACTGGTTCAAAGACTGGTTTAAAGAACGTTTGAAACAATTCATTTAAAAAAAGCACTCACACAGAAATAACTGGCAAAAATTACTTGATTTTCCCATCAGGAGTTATTTTTACAATTTCCTTTAAGAAATTCAGTCAGTCATTTTACAACTGGGACATAGGAAAAAAAAAGAGAGAGAGAGAGAGAGAGAGATACTGAACTTCAGAGGTTAACTAAGTCTCAAACCCCTAGGAACTGTGAATCTGATTAAGTTTGTAAATGTGGTCTGAGACTATCTACATCAGAATCAACTGAGCTGCTTGTTAAAAATGCAATTTCATACAGGCCCTGCTGAAACAGAATCTTATGAGTGGAGCTTGCATATTTGTATTTGCACAAAATTCCCATATATTTCTCTAAAACAGTCGAGCTTTAGAACAACTGAACTAAAATCCTGACTTTCATCCATTCAACATCAAGGGATAATCTCTTATAGTTCACCAACAAATGGGGATTTACACACTGATTCAGTCATTGAACAGAATCCTGCACAGAGACCAATGACTGGTGAATAATATATGAGCCCTGCCCTCCAAAATCTCACAGTCTAGAAGAGACAAATAGATAAGTAAGTATAAGACAATGCATTAACTGCCAAAATAGTATTATGTATGACTAGGGGGAAAGGAGGCACCGCTGAGACTTACACCATGGTAAACATTCAGGGGAGATTTATATTTTACTTATAGGAAAGAAATCAGGAATTTCAGAAGCTCTGCTTGCCTCATTATCTGTGGGTTCACAAACTGCTCTATCCCAGCCATGAGAAGATTGCAGGGAACTTAGAGTGAGCAAAAATATCACATGCTCACCTTTGCCCCATAGTTCATCCCTGTTTGTTTGTTCATTTATTTTAAGTCACTAAGTTGGAAGCTTATTTTATCAGTCTTGGAGAGGAGCTGGGCAGAGGGGAAAGGTCCTGAGTATGAAAGCAGCTAGGACATGAAGGGAATAGCAGCTGCACTCAGTACACATACATACACGAATAAGGCCCATGTAGGACCAAAAGTTCCTGGAAGCCGCTGATTAAGCTGCTCCGATCTATTCAATTTCTTGATTCTCCAGTCTGGGGCAACCCAAATTTAACTGCTGGACTTCACTAGTATTACTCAGTCATCTCATTACGTCACTGATCTAAGAGAACTTATCTCTACTAGAAGCTCCACGGGTAAGTTACATGAAGAACAGAGCAGATATTTTTCATCCAAAATGAATTTGTATAAATGTTACTCTTCTTTTGATCCAACCTCTGGTTATGTTGATGTAGAATCTATTATACTTAGAAAGATAGTACATTCTGCTTTAAAGAAAAATATTTTCCTTTAGTAAAGCCATAAGATTGTCCTAAATGACAGACACATTTTGTTTTCCAGTAACTGTGCATGTTTCTAAAAATGAAAAAAAAAAAGCCATATGTGTAATCACAAGAAACTAGTGGAAAAAATTAGGGTGACAAGAGTATAAAAAAAATCCTCATCATCCAACTCCTGAAAAATCAAGGACATGCTGTACAAAAGCAAAGAAGAGAAGATGATTGCAATTAAGAAACAATGTGGAATCTAAGAGACCATAAACCTCCCCCAATCTATTAAAGCCTGAATTTCAAACAATATTTCTCATAGAAATCAAGTGGGGGGAAGAGACCTACAACCATGCTGTCAGTGTAATTTTTAAAATGTTTAAAAAACCCATTTAAAGCTGCTATTAAATAGACATTTAGCTTAAGCTATGGATGGATGTAATTCAGTAAGTGCATAAATATTTCTCAAAAACTAACCTGACTCTCTCCATATGTCTCCAGATTTTTCTTTCTGCTGGTCCTATGCTCAGCCAAAGAGGATTATTTTAAAAGACATACATTTTGAAAATAGATTTTTCCAGTTTTAGGATATAGAACAATATTGTAACCCACTATTTTTTTATACAAGTAAATTTGATTCAAACGTGTCTCTGATCCTTTTAAATGGTATTTGGCGTGCAGCCTTCTTCTTTTACAGCTGCCTTCCTTAAGTCAGTGTCCAATTCAGAAGTTGAACACAGAGAGGAGATGGGCTAGGGCAAAACTCGGATCCAGATATTTTTTTCGAGAATAAATAACTTCTCTCTCCCAGGAGAACTCAGCAGCCAAGATTTAGTAATCCTCAGAGAGGCCACGACCCGAGAGGCACCACAGTCCTACTCTGGGCTTACACCTTGATCTCTGGGTGAAGATTGCCTAAGCACAGGCTGGCTGTTTATGACCTTCTTCCTGAAGGTGCCTCAGATACTGGTGGCAGCCATCTGGATGTGCTCACGGATTGGGAGCAGCTGCAGAATGTCTGAATATTCAACAGGACCAGCAGCTGTTAGGAAGGAGCAAGAGCTAGCTGTTAAGGCCCTCTGTTTCCAGACACACCCTGGATTTCTTTTTCTTCCTGGCTCATGTGAAATAGGGAAGAGAACATCTGCCTTCTCCTTTTTCCTTTCCCCCTTTCTGGGGGCACTGATGCCTTTCACTGAAGGAATCCTTCAAGGTCAACTGCTGGAGAAGTGACATCTTCTTTCCTGTGCTTCTCTGCTGTCTCCTTAAATATCTCCCAATTTGTGCTCTAAGGTATTTTATAGAGGGGTTATAAGCTGCCAGCTGGGACAATGAAACATTTCCTCAAACTATCTCTTTTTCTTTATTTATGTTAGGCCTTCGTTAATTTACAGCAAAAAGGTGGAGATACAAGTCATCTCTCCAAAACTGGGAAATAAATCTGAATGTCATCTATCATTTGAATATTCTTTTAAAAATCCCCAAATATGAATCAGAGCATCTATAATAAAGTCACCTTAAAGAAAGTGCTAGCATGCAGCCAGACTGCACTAGGAATTGAATCCAGGAACTGACTAAACTCTTCGCACAATCATGGTATCATGTGCATATTATTGCTGCAAACAATCAGGCTTCAAGCATGTATTTTTGATTTTGAATTAACAATTCGACTGTTGATGTTATAGGTAGGTATGCACATAAAAGGTTCAGAAAGGCCAACGAAGGGCCTGAACATACTGAACAAAGATCGCGAACTTAGCCATTCAATATAATTTAGTTGAAAAATAAGCCTGTTACAATTCTAGGTATATGACTATAAACGTTACTAAGACTTTCTTGGCTACAGTTCCTTACTTGTAAAATGGGGATAATTTACCTATGTTAAAGAGTTCTGAGGGTTATATTTAATAAATGCAATGTGCTTGGCATTGTGCCTGACTTAGAACAGATTCACAGTAGGTTTGAAGAAAACTGCCATTACTATTATTGTTTTTATTGTCATCATCACTACCCAGATTGTTATGAGTACCTATTTAAATGAATTACTAGATATGAGCAACTTATTATAGAGATTAAGAACATGGTTTCTGGAGTAAATTATACCTGTTTAAGTTCCTACTTAGCTATTTGTTTTGTAACCTTGGGCAAGTTAACTCCTCTAACTTCAATCTTTTCATTGGTAAATTGGGAAAGATAATAGTGTCTACTTTACTTGGTTACTTTGGGGATTAATGTCATGTTAACATAATAGTAAATTAACTCAGACATTGGTACATGACAGGTGCATAATAAATGTTAACTTATGGTCAGTATGACTTTGTTGTTAGTATCTGACTTACTCTAAAATTGAGACATATTACTTATAGCTTTCTTTGGAACTATCTTGATAGGCATCACAAAAAAGTAAGAGTAAAATCAAATTTACACAGCCTTGATTTATAATTATAAGAACTTCCTTCTTAATTTAGAAAACAATCTGGGAAGAAAATTCACTGGCTTAGTGACGTTAAATTGAGAAGCCCCAATTTAGTGAGAAGGACATGGGCCTGGCAGTCAGGGGATCTCTGTTACAGGCCCAGGTCTGCCAATAATCAGCTCTGTGGCTTTGGCCAAGCCATTTAACATCACAAGACCTTAATATCCTCATCTGTAAAATAAGGCAATTTGGACAGATGATCTCTAAGGTTGAATATTCTCTAAATCTGATCTAATGAGGTCTTATCATTCTGCTTTGGCTCTCTAAGAAGGAAAATGTGGTGCTTTAAGTGGGAAGAGAGTTAGGGAATAGAATAAAATATAAAGAATGGTCCTTATTGTCCTCCTGATCCATGATAATTTTTTTCTCAGTTGATGTAATAGTTGGCTTTTTTTAAAGTTTCCCCCTAAAAAGTCCAGATGCTATGATTTCATCAACCACAAACAAATGGGGCAGGGCTGGTGAGGTCCTGGGAAAATGAACATAATTCCTGGAAAACAAAGTTTATATCCTAACTAGTTGTCCCAAAAGGACTAGATGGACTCATACCCATTAGCACTTTGAAAGCAAACAAGTCATGATTGATTGTAAAATTTCCATCTAGCTTAGTACTATATTTAAATTATTAACACCAGATAACTTACATTAACTTATCTTGCTTTTGGATTTTTATGTGAGGTATCAATCAAGCGTGGTTATTCTTTCTCTGGGTCCATAGAGAACATGTTTGGCCACTAACATGATGACTATACACCAAGCGACACTACTTTCAAATATTCAACTATTTTCCGGCCAAAAATCAATCTAAAGAATATAAGCTAAATCAACCATTTTCTTCTATTTTTGGCGGTAATTCAGAAGTGCAATTTCTCTCACAGTTTAGGACATGAGCATCCTTTCATAAATAATTATCAACATGTAAAAATTTCCCAGTGGCTGAACACATGGACTCGTAAGCAGTGTCGAGCTTACAAATCTATTATCCTTAGGTGCTTTAACTCATTTTTCCTGAATGATATTATGGTTTAAAGTATAGGAAATGTCTGGTGAAGACAAAGAGGGAACACGTTAATGTTACAATACAGAAAGCCAGGAACTAAAAACACACTGTGAATGTTATACCACTTAATGCAATAAGCACTAACCTAGCAAGAGAAGAATTCCATGTTATAATATATAACCCAGGAGAGAACCATTTGAGCCAGTTTATTTAGCATGATTTTTTATGGTGATGCTTTTAAAATATTTAAAATCAAGTACAGCTCATGCATCAATCAACAAATACCCAGGGAGTAGGTATGGGGGTAGATCAAGGGGTTAAGGGTAGTAGCCATTTATTAACTTGTATTAAACATTTCAAGATTATGACAATCAATGTGAACACATCAATAATGTACTGGGTGAGGATCAGGTCTGGCTCTAAATATGAGAAACTTTCAGAGACAGGAGTGCTAAAGAATCAAAAGTTGTATAGAAATAAATTCCAATACTATACAATTCCCAATAATGCTCACTTTCTTTACTTGGTGTATCTTTATTGCCTGATAACTCCCTTGTTAATTCCTATGCTTAAGGCATAAACTCACACATGGAACTTTTCCTGACCCCTCCCCTTTACCCTCACTTTCCACCCCACCACCCACAACTGAGCTAAACACCTGCCTCTATAGTGCCAATACATTTTCTACCACAACACTTGTGATTACAACAAATTGAGTCTTATTTTCCTGTCTGTCTCTCTTCCTTAGCATTAAGTTTAGATAGTAAACAAGAAGCTCTTCTAGATATGAGCAGGAAAGGTATCCGTTTTGTTCCATTCCTTGTCCCTGGAACTAAGTAGACCCTCAATAAATATTTGCAGAAGGAGTAAATCATCGAGGGTGCTGTCTAAAATTCACATTACGAGGCTCCATCCCTAAAGATTTTGATGCATTTTTAGCAAGTATCTAGAGTGATTCTGATGTAAATGACCCAGAAATCTTATTCCCAGAACCTAGATCTGATATATTTAGCACTTCAAAAATTTTTCAACAATTTGGATTAATTTGCTAGTGCTGCCATAACAAAGTACCACTAACTGGGTGGCTTAAGCAATATAAACAATCGTCTCTCAGTTTTGAAGGTTAGATGTCTAAAATAGAAGTTAGCAGGGTTAGTTCCTTCTCAGAGCTGTAAGTGAAAGATCTGTCCAAGGATTCTCTCCTTGGCTTATGGATGGCTGTCTTTATGCTCACCTGGTGTTCTCCCTGTATTCATGTCTTTGTCCAAATTTCTGTTTTATAAGGATATACTGGATTAGAGCCTCACCCTAATGATCTTAATCAATTGCATCTGCAATAACCATATTTCCAAATAAAATCACTTCTGAAGTACTGAAGGTTAGGATGTCAACTTATCAATTTGGAGAGAGGGGATACAATTCAAACCACAGCATCATTTATTTATTTTGCAGTTCTCTGACTTCTCTCCCATGAGAGATGTGTTACAGTAAACAAAACATATGACAAACTCTGAAGAGGTCTGCTAATTTTGCTGTATCACTATTAGCTAAAATGTGATGTTGACATTGCACATATACTTAGATTTACACAAGAGCAATGTTCTTTAAAGTTGGGTTAAGATTATGCTAATTTGTTTTAAAGGCACATAAGAATACGTGCCAATTAAAGTACCTCTTTGAAAAATTATATTGTAAAGTTTAGAATCGTTCTGCTAAAATTATTATTCCCTAATAATGTTGATCTTGAAATGTCAATTCAGATTTTCTAGAAGCAGGGCATTTTTAGAGGAACTAGAAATATACAATTATTCTATGGTGTAGACAAATTTTGAACAGATATAAGGATAAGTTTTGAGAGAGTCCTTGAGAGAGTCCCTCTGAGTACAAAATAGTAATTGCAGACTACAAGCAAATCCATGATAATGAACTATAGAAAAGAGTTTTACAGGGAAGTACAATTTTTGTGTCTCAAAGATTAAATTTCAAAATTGAAGACTTAAAACTATTAAATAAAACCCTAAACCCCCATTTAAGATGATGCTCAGGGTCTCAATTCCAAATTAAACAGATATTTATTGAGAGTTTACAATGTGCTAGCGCTTTTGATTAATATAGAAAGACATAGACTTTGCCTTCAAAGAGGTCATGGTCAAGAGAATGTGAAAATAAAGAGTTCTGGTAAAATTAAGAGTTATAATGTAATGTATTAAGATGTATAATGTATAATGTAATATATAATGCAATGTATTAAGAGTTATACTGGTAACTATGGTTTTGAGATGTTTCTAATTTTAAATACATTGTCCCACAGTTACCATATTTTCACATTAGATGTCTATGTCCTGATTCCCCTTCCTCCGTCCCTCCCTCCTGCTTCCTTCCTTCATTTTTCTTTCTTTTCCCTTTTCTCTTCTTTCTTCCATTTTTTTTCAGTTGTTCAGTATTATAAATATGAATCCTACATTTGTTATATACATTGAAACCAGTTCCCAAACTGTTTTTCAAGTTTTTCAAGATTTTTATAAACTAGAGTTTGTGCTAATACTCTGTGGGTTTGTGGTCAACTTATGCATCAGTTTTTCCATATCATAGTGGAGATAATATTAGTATCTCCCACAAATCATCATGTTGATCTTCAAAAGAGATAAAGCATGTAAAGTGAGTAGCATAATAGCCAGCACTAAATGTTAGTTGTTCTCTCTTCTTTTTTTCTTCTAGTTATTAGAGGTTTTGGATATTTCTTGTTATGTTTATTCCTAAGTGTTTTGTACTTTTCTTGCTATTATGAACTGGTAGCAGCTTTAGAAATATTTTTATCATGGAAGTGTTTGGAATGGAGGGAATTTTATTGTCCCATTGTCATGATTTCATATAACTTTGGAAATATTCAAAAAAGTTAACTGGTTATTTCTAGGTGCCTTCCACATTGTGTGAACAATCTGTCACATGCTATTACTTCTGCTTTGTATCAGCTTATTTTCACTAATCAAACAAGAATTTATTACATAACCAACTTCTACATATTACTAAACAAAGGAATACCAGTCTTTAGTGTTTTTCACCTACATTAGAGGAAGTTGTCGGATAAACTGGGTTTGATTTCTAGGCATGTGATCAGGACACAAATCACAGTAATATTCTGTAGTTGTTCCAAATTACCAAATGTATTTTGATCCTGGCATTTCCATGTCATCTGACTAATCAATAGACTGTAACCAGATTATGTAATTACAAATTGTTAGAAAATGCTTTTAGTGATGATGACACCATCCCTACAGAAAAAGACATGACGTTTCCCTTGGGCAAGGTCTTCTGACTTAAAGGAATTCAGTGGTCTAACAGATTCAGGTTGACAGGCAAGTATAAATGATTGCTGAGTGTTATAAATGTAATTATATCATATGCACCATAGATATAATGCAGTTTTGTAGTTGTATATACATGAGTTATAACAGCAAAAATAAAATGGCAACCTAAACCCTTTTTTAAAGAAAGTCCACCACCTCTCTCCATTTGCTTACATTATTTGACCCCATCTTCACTTTCCATTATATATATCAGCTTTTAGAACCATAATGAGGTATATACCTGTTGACTATGTTGAAACATAGTAACTTCTTTGCTCATTTTTTGAGAAATATAGTCCAAGGCAAATAGCCATTTAACTTCCTCTCTCTTTCAGGAACTTCTGGGACATGCCTGGAAGAATTACACTGCCATTCTTTTCACCCACGCAGAAAAAATAGAAGAGGCTGGGTTCAACGAAGATGAATACTTACATGAGGCCTCTGATACACTGCTAACCCTACTAAATTCTATTCAGCACAGGTATATTTTCCAGTATAAAAACCAAAACTCGCTTAATGAACAAAGACTAAAAATCTTAGAGAGAATCATAGAATTTATAAAAGAAAATTGTTACCAAGTTATTACTTTTAAATAAAATTTAGGTAAAAGGAAAAGGGCACTGGGTTTTACAGTCAGCAACCCAGTTTCAAAAATGCCTGTTAGCATGGCTATGGACCATCAGAATTCCCATATGCTGTCAGTGAGACTGTACTTGGTATTTCCACTTTGGAAAACTGTTCAGCAGCTAAAAATAACATATAGGATTCAAGATTCTAAGACAATTCTTATGACACAGTAATCACACTCCTAAGTGTATCCAACAGAAATATATATATTTGTACATTAAAAGACTTGAATGTATAAGAATGTTCACAGCAGTACTATTCATAAAAGCTAAAAACTGGAAATTACCCAAATGTCCATTAATAGTAGATTGGATAAGGAAATTGTAGTATATTTACACAATGGAATATTATACCATAATGAAAATGAGCAAACTACAACTGCAGGTAATAAAGGAATTACCCAAACATAATGTTGAAAGAAGCCAGACATAAAAGAGTACATACTCTATGATTCCATTTGTATAGATTGCACACTACAGTCGAAACTTATGTAATTTAAACTATTCTGATGTGAGAAGTGTTGAAAGTCAGAAGAGTAGTTACCCTTGGGGAAGAGATAGTAAAAGCACAAACCAAGGCAGCTTCTGAGATTCCGGTAATGTTATATATATTTTTTTTAATATATATAAACTTTTTTTTATTGAGTTATAGTCATTTTACAATGTTGTGTCAGTAATGTTACATATCTTGATCTGGAAGCTGGTTTCATATAGTGCATTCATTTTGTGGACATTCAACAGCAAACACTTCTGCTTTATGAACTGTTTGGTATATACAGTACACTTAAAGTTAAAACTCAGGAAATTACTATCTGTATTTTAAAAACACTCCACTACTTACTTGATGCTAAGCAAAGAAAATTACTTAACCTGTGAAGGACTGTTTCCTTATGTTGAATACCTACTTCATAGTTACTGAAATGATTAAAACATCTTATGCTCAAAAAATGTTATCTTTCTTTTCCACTCTCTTATAAGCTGTGGTTTCTATTTAGGTCTGGAAATAAGGGTAGTATCTCCAAACCAAGCTCTGCAGCAGAAATAAGTGTAACAACTGTAATAACCAAATATGAATAAAGCTTTGACTAAAGAAGAGGTGTCCAGTCTACCTTGGAAGGTTGGTCAGTTTGGCTTAGTAGAGAGCTCCAGAATAATCTCAAAGGCAGCAGTGAGGATCAAAGAAGAATAATTCCAGTCAGTCCTAACAGCCAAGCCCATCATCACCAAGTCACAATTGGATCACCCGCATGTTTAACATTTGCACATGAGGTTTATTGTTTATAAATTATTTTACCAAGATAGTCCCCAATTTACAAATAGGCTGTTTTCATAAAGTTAATTCATAAATTGCTTCTTTTGTGTGTGCAAAATACTGTATTTTCCACTGAAAAGAGATTCACAGCTGCTGGTTTATTCGCCTAGACTAGTTCTTGAAAGTGTACTTAATAATTAATATTACCTGAACTCTAGCACAAATGATATTAGCCTACATCCAAAATTTATAAAGTGTTCTTAAAGGAAAGCATATAAATTGCAAATTGAAACACCTCTATTTTTCTGCATAGCCCCCTTCCATCATTGTGGGTCAACTTGCAATTGTCAAGCAGGAGCCTTAATAATTGGACTGAGTTTGAAAGTTAAGTAAAATTGGCATTTCTGCAGGGGTTGGTGACTTAGGATTAAAGAAAGAAATTTGAAGCTGAGAAGGTGAAATTGCAATTCAAGAGAAGAGTGAAAAAGTCAGGTTTTGAGTCCTACATATCCTTCATTCATGTGATGTCAGCTAACTCTTTTAGAACACAAATACTAGTTAGCTTCAGGAAAGATATGTTGCGCAGAATCATTAAGGATTCAAGATCTCTGAGGCTGGCCTGGTGTCAATGATTAATAGAGGAAAGGTACTTTTAGTTTCAGAGGAAGACTTCTGTGATGTTCTTCCCTGAATTATTTATTTTTAGATTTGTGTGTATATACAGGTATATGTATATATATTTTACATAAATCCCTGAATGTGATCATATTACATACTTGACTTTTCTTTAGCATTTTTATATTTTGCTTTTTACATTTCACCTTTACCTCTCCCCTCCTTTCATCTCTCCTCCTCTTCATGCAAACCAGCCCATTAGAGATAGCTCACATCAACAAAAAACATGGTATGCACCATTCGTGTCCTCTGCATGTCCAAATATTTGCACACACACAGAACACATACATAGACATAAACATACATAGGGCTTTTGACTTTTTAAAAAATATTTCATACTCTTTACATCTTTTTTTTAACACCACCTCATTTAATTCCTCCAACTCTACAATGTAGCTTAAATTCATCCTTTTTAAAGGCTGCGTAACAGGATGTCAACATTTCACAGTGTATATAGAACAATTTATGTGGCTACTCGTCTATTGCTGTGTATTCCAGTTTTCTGCCACCAAAAGCCATGTTCCAACATTCTTGTATATGTTTTTTAATGTAACATTGGCTTTTTTCTGTAAGTTATATCCCCAAGAGTGAGATTTCTGGTCTCTTACTCAACTTATTTTCATAAATGTTGCAACAAACTTAATTTTCAGCAACATTTGAGTACCCTTTTCCTATATTCTTGTCATCAATCAGTGTTATCTTATACACCTACTCTAACACATTTGGTAAATGTAAATCGTATCTTACTGTTCATCTTAATCTGCATTTCCCAGACTAATACTGAATTGGAGCATCTTTTTATAAGCATGTTGGTCATTTAGTTTCACTCTTCTTTGAGCTGCCTCTTCACGTTCCTTGTCCTTTTTGTCATTTTTCTGTTGGATTATCTCTCACACTTCTTTTCTTGACAAAAACTTTAGTCAGGTTTCTGAACCTTCTCCTAGGCCCGTTTGGGCACTTCCTTGTAAAATTCAGTTTTAGCAAGAACCCTGCTAAGTCAGTTTAACCAGAACCCTCCACCCTTGATATCTGGTCAGGTTCCTTGTCTAATCACTCCGGCCTGTCTTCAGCAAAGATCCTGTTAGGTTGGGTTACCCAGACTCCGTCTGACTCTTCCTTGTATTTCCCTCTTAGTTGTCTTCTACCTCTGATCTCCACCCTGCTCCTTTGCTACAAATTCCTACTTGCCCATCCTGTTATTCAGAGTTAGCCCAATCTCTCTCCCCCCGTTGTAAATTTCTATTGCAGTGCTCCCTAGACCTATCTTGATGGTCCTAAATAAAGTCTGCCTCACCACTTTTAACAAGTGTTACTGAATACTTTTTCTTTAATACTTCCTGCTGGGTAAATTGGAAGAGCTCCATGTATATTACAGATATTAGCCCTCTGTTTTTCACTTTGCAAAATTTTTTTTCAATTCTATTATTTGCCCTTCAGTTTTATTTATGGTAACTTGTGCCAAACTAAATTTGTGAATTTTCTTAGTCATATATATTTCTATGTACATGATAGAAGATGGAGTTTTAGTTTCATTTCCTTTTCGATGGGTAACCAACTGTATATGCTATATTTATTAAATAATTCATCTCTTCCTACTGAAAAACTGTAGGTAGATAGATATATAAATATGTATCTCCTTTATCTATTTCTAGATCTATTCTGGATTCATAATTCTTTTCCATTATCTATTTTACTTATATTATTATCAATACCAGAATGATTTAATTTAAGTGGTTTTATATCTTTCCTTGATATCTAGGAGGACAAGTTTCCCTTGTTTTTGCTTTTTCAAAATATTTTCTGGCTACTCCCAGTCATTCATATATATAATTTTTCAGATCTGTTTTATCTAATTTCAAAAAAAAATTCATTTGCAGTGTGTATGTTTATAACAAATGACATTTTACAATATTAAATCCTCCCATGCAAGCATACAGGATGATTCTCCATCTTATGTCATGTTTATTGTTTATATTACTGTATTTCTTGCATTTTTCTTTTCCTTAGTTTTACCAATTTATAAAATTGCTATTAATTCAGTTTTTCTCCTTAATAATTTGGAAGTTCTACTCTAATTCATACCCATTAAGAATTATTTCCTTGTCCCTGAATTCAGAATCAAGTACCTTCTTCTCTACCATTGTTTGATAACAAAGTAAGAACTATTTCCCTGAGAACTCTCTCCCCACTGCATTATACCCTCAGCTATTAAAATAAGACCTTTAGAATACTTTGATTTCCTCCCTATTCTTTTCTTCTTACCCCATCTTCCCTAGGTAAGAAGTCTTTGGAATGCTTTTCCTTTCCCATATTACCAGATTTTGCTAAGATAGTTAATTATTTAATTCAAAACTTTCCCCTTACAGATTGCCCTTTCTGTTTCAAAAGCCCTTCTTACCATTTACATTGTGTATTCCTGGTAGTTTATCATTATCTCTTTTACCTAATACACAAATAGAAGGTTCATTCCTCACCATTGTTTTCTCTTCTCTAATCTTCCTCCATCTTTCTAGTTAGTGCCTTTTCCTAATATACTCTGATTTCTAGCCTAGTATCCCAGAAGTATTAAGTTCCAGACATGGTCTTCCATGAGCCATCTGCAATAGCAAATTCTAGCTCCTCAAAATAATCAGCACAGTGAATATAGGGAAATAATTTGTTAGTTGATAATGGGGCAGTTGAATCGTAAGAATAGCAAGGCACTGAAGCTGCCATATTACACCTGAAGCTGGTTGTTTGACTTTTCTGGATGACAGTACATGTGTATCTGTTGAATAGACTATTACTGGTGATAATCAAAACTTGCAACAAAAGAACTTTGTGATCAGAATTAGCTCTAAGTAAAATAAATGATGTCAAGAAAGTTCATCTTTGGTATCCTGCCACCTTTCCTACTAGATGCTGTAATTTACAATCTCTCCTCACGTCCCTCCAGGTGCCCGATCTGTACGCTATTCTCACTTAGAAGACAAAAATCTCTACTAAACTTTATATTTGAAAGTGCTTTGAACATTCAAGATAATTTAAACTTGATATTTTTGTGCAGCTGGCATTAGAGCCCAATTAGTACATACCATCCCAGGGCATTAGTGATTCACCTCTAATACTTACCAGCTCTG